CATGACAAAGTAATTTGAGCTGATGAGGTCACCAAATCAGAGAGTAGAGAAAGAGGATAGAATAGGGTGTGGACAAAGCTTTGGGATAGATTCACAATTACAGAGCATGATATGCATGATGACCTAGAAAGGAGACTGAGAAGGAGTGGTCAAGCAGGTAGGAGAACCAAGAAGGAGCAATGTTACAAAGACCCAGAGAAAAGAATTTATCAGGAGAGGATGGTCAACAATATCCATTAGATTGTAAAGTCCTTGAGGGCAGGGACTGTCTCTTTTCCTATCCTCAGCACTTAGCACAGTGACTAGCACCTAGTGGGTGCTTAATGATTGTTTATTGATTGATTTATTGAAATACTATAGAGGGATCAAGAAACTTGAGGACTGAGAAAAGGTCATTTATCAGAGATGGCCATAAAGAGTCCACTGGTAACTTTGGAAAGAGCAGTTCCAGTTGAGTAATAAAGTTGGAAACCACATTACAAAGAGCTGAGAAGTGTAACTACAAGGGGGAGGGAGGCAATGCTTGTAAACAGAATTTTCCAGAAGTTTTGATGAGAGTCTATAGAAAATGATAGCTACAGGGAATCATAGAAAGAGACTCACAAAGGTACATTTTAAGAATGAGGGAGACAGGTATATTTGTAGACAGCAAGAAAGGTCCCAGTAGATAGGGAGAAATTGAGAGTTAACCAAGGAAGGATTGTGAAAGAAATCTGCTGAAGAAACTGGGAGAGATAGGACCAAATGTATGTGACCTTGGCAAGGAAAAAAAGTTATTTAACTATCAGAGATTAGACTAAAGGAAGAAGAAAGGGGGATGATGTCAAGAGATGATATGAGCTCAGATGCAAATTGAGGTTTCTGGGGAGGGTTATGACCAATGTGAGAATTTGTTTTGCTTAACAAAACATTTTTATAACAGGGTATTTATTTTGCTTGCTTTCTTAATGGGGGTGGGAGAGAAGAAGAAAAGAAAGTATATATTTACTTGAAAATAAAGTTTTCTTTTTTAAATAAGGGATTATGAATTCTAAAGAAAGGAGAAGAGGGCCTCTATAGTCCTAGTCATAGTCAATGGCCTCTAGTTTCTCAGTAAAGTATGAGACAAGGTCCTCAGTTGAGAGTATTGGGGAAAGGGTATAATGAGAGGCTTGAAAAGAGAAGAGAAGGTTGGGAGTAGTTACAGTGGGGATGAGATAGCAAATTAATGAGGGGTAAAAAGACTGCCTTACTTCAGTGAAAACCCAGTGGAGATAAGATAACAAAAAATTGTAGTGGACCTAACCTCCAGCTCCATTCATCATGAGATAAGTAGGAGCAGAAGAAGTGGATGTCCTTCTGACAAAGCTCTGTGCTCTATAATCTCGTCAAGTTGATTGGAGAACTTATCAAATTGATCACCAATGCTTTCCAATGCTCTCCTGTCAAATGCCTGCCAGATTTTATTTGGATATTCCATCATCAAATCAAAGTCATGAATGACTAAAACCAAACTCAATATATCCTTCCCAACCAATCACCTTCTTCCCCCCCCAAAAAAAACACAGTATTCTCTCTCCTAACTTTCTTAGCATTCTTCTAATCAACCAGGTTCAAAACCTCAACTTCTTCTTTAGACCTTCCCCCTATTTTGTCCTCTCTATTCAGTCACCAAATTTTGTGCTTTAATTAGTTCCCTCCTTACCATTCCTACTGTCACTTTATATCTAGTCTATAATAATATAAATAAGTGTGATTAAAAAAATTAAAGAATATACAATCTCAAAGTTATCAGAACTTTAGGTTTAACATGATCCAGTCCATACCTATAATCTACTCAATGCTATAATAATAATAATAACTAATATTTCTATAGTGCTTTAAAATTTACAAAGCACTTTGCAAATATGATCTTATTTTAACCTCACAACACCTAGGAAATAGTTGCTGTTATAGCCCTCATTTTACCTATGGGGAAACAGAGAATGAGCAGTTAAGTCCCTTGCCCAGGGTCACATAGCTTATGTGTCTGAGCCTGGATTTGAGCTCAGGTCTTACCTACCAAACAAGTATTTATGCATCCTTTGTTTAAAGATCACTAGCTAGGTGGCACAGTGGATAAAGCACTGAACCTGGAGTCAGGAAGACTTATCTCACTAATTTCAAATCTGGACTCAGACACTAGTAAGTATGTAACCCTGGAAAAGTCACTTAACTGTTTTTGCCTCAGTTCCTCAAGGATATGGCAAACTACTCTAATATCCTTGCCAAGAAAACCCCAAACGGGGTCATGACGAGTCAGACATGACTGAAAAACAACAACAGCAACAAGTGAAGAGAAATTTTAAACCCAAATCCATTACACCTTGGGATAGCACTAAACTTAGTCATTTTTTTTCTTACATTAATCCTAATATACTCCTTTTCAAATTTCACCCATTGCTCATAGTTTTGCCCTCTGACGCCAAGAAGAACAAGTATAATTCCTCTTCTATAATACAGTCCTTCAAATATTTGAGGACATCTATTATGTTACCCCCACACCTTCTCTTGTCTAGGTTAGATATGCAAAGTTCCTTCAATTCTCATATGGAAAGGAATCAATGGTTTTTACTATCCTGTTTATTTGCTTCCTTGCTCTCCAGCTTATTAAGATACCTCATAAAATGCGATATCCAGAACTAAACATAATACTCAAGATGTGTTCTGCCAAGATGGAGTACAGCAAAACTATCACCTTTTTATTCCTGAAAGTTATGCCTCCCAATGCAGCCCACAATTTCATTAGCTTTTTTGCTGCTATATAATAAGAGCTAACATTTATATAGTGCATTAACACTTCCAAAAAGCCTTACACATGTTAACTCATTTGATCATCACAACAACTTCGTGAGTGTAAGTTGCTATTATTACCTTTATCTTACCAGTGAGGAAGCCAAGGTTGAAAGAGGATAAAGAATTTGCCCAGAATCACATAGCTAGTAATGGTCTGAGAAAGAATTAGAACTTGGGTATTCCTGATTTCAAGTCTGGCATTCTCTGCTATGCCAGCTAGTTGCCTATGTGACACAATTGATACATACTAAGTTTACAATCCACAGAAATTCCAAATTTTCCCCAGAAAACTTCTGTCCCATCAACAATCTTTTTTGATCACTGCTCTATAATCCAACATACCAGTTTTACCTCCAATTTTTATGTCCTCTATAGATTAGGTAAACATGCCTTCTACGACCTTACTGAAGATCCTGGAGGTGGGGCATAGAAGGGGGAAGGAAGGAAATGGTGAACAGCACAGGGCCGAGGACAGCTCCCTGGG